TTGATCGGTTGTGTTCGACATTGCGGATGAGGACGCCGTTGTTGTTGTTGTTGTTGTTGTCGGCGTGGTGTTTGATGTAGCACTGTCGGTTGTATTAGTCACGTTTGTGGACTGCCCGGTGCCGTTGTTGTTGTTGCTACTGATGTTGCTGCTGTTGCTGCTGCTGTTGTTGCTGCTGCTGCTGGTTGTGGTGGTGGCTGAGGTGTTGCTGCTGCCGCCATTTGCTGGCGTGTTGGTAGTGATCGTGTTGGAGATGGTGGTATGGTTGTAGACAAGAAGTTCGCTTTTTGCTAATGAGTTATGCGCATTGTTATAGGGTTGTCTGAGACAAATGAATCTGCGATGATTGAGACAGGGTTTGGATTCAATAACCCATACGTTTCGTTTCCATACATCGATTCTCGAGTGTAGACAACCACTGGCGTTCTCACTGGAGCTGGACATCCATCGTCGTTCCTCCTCAAGTGGAATGACAGAATAGTCCCATGGGGTGTTGTCCAACCATGTAATGTTGAATGTTTGATTCCCGTTGAGATTCACTTTTCCTCCCAACCAGAATCCCTCATGTGCGTGATGATGGAGTACCTGAGTTAGCATGACCTGGGAAAATATAGTTGGGGTTGGTTATGTTTTATATGAATTTGTGCATGCTTCAAAAATTTTGAGTCACGTATATACACTACTATTGCACAATGATTAGTGTAAATCAGGACAAAACCAATCAAAAAACGCACTGTGTTGTTTGTGGGCCATTTTGCAAAACATTCTTTACAGATAATGATCGGTATGTTGTGGCCTGCGGTCGAGTGAAACTTTTACCGCACATCACGTGACTGATCGCTGCATCTTGCCCCTACACACACGTGCGCACGTCATGAGGAATTCCTCTGTTACAATGTCTATCCGCCTCGTTGCGGCATTAATCAATACAAATTCAAATCTTATGATGATTGGAGGTGGACGCAAATTAGCGGATAGAACAAATTTCAGCTTTCCCCCTAACGGGTAAAATGAATGGGCAACCGAAGGTGGGAAAACCGTGACAAATTAAGTCAAGGTCTTGAATACGTTCAGGGTGTTCATCAATCATTCCGAAAGACGGACTACCTTGCCGTTTGAAGCATCTCGAAATGTGAAACAATCTAAGAACCACCATGTACCCGCTAGATTAAATGTTGTCTACTATTTCAAATTTTGTGCGTCAATCCTAGAATCGGTACACAATAAAAATGCTCCCTCATGAAGACTTTTTGTGCTACATCATCAAATACCAACTTGATCATATGATTTCGGTTCGAACCCCCTTGGCTGATGCAAAAACAATAATGAACAGCAAAACTATAAAAACAGCACGATTAATTTTTCTATTAGAACCGATTATTTACACCGCATGTTTTAAAGACTTCAACGAGTTATTCTATCACACTTTGAACTAGTGGATTTGTAAGCGTGGTAGGTGTTTGGTTTCTTACTAGTATCAATTTATCTTATACACGCTCAAGGGGGTTAATGCGGAATTCGGTTCTGAGGAGGTGATTTGAGTTCACGAAGAAGTTCTGTTCACTGAATAGAAAGGCAATTTCAAACAAAACAACAGAGTGGAGAACAAGCTCGTTTTCAGAGATTCGTATTCATACCAATACATCTCAATATATATATATATCTATATTACTACTTGGGAATAAAATTGTCTTGGGAAAATAAAATCACAGATTTCTAGAAACGATTTCATCGTTAGACCGGAAATCGGGTTCACCACGATCACATGTTTGTTTTTCCTCTCATCCGATCATCGAGATTACTCGTGATGCGGTGTGTGTGGCGTGGGCCAGGGAAGCTTTAGCGCTTGCACAAGTTATTTTTGGGCACACAGAGAGGGGGGGGGTTATGCAGACAAATACCCACCGCTTCTGCTGTGGCCAGCATCCGACAGCAAACCTGCCTCGACAATCGCCCACGAGCTTTGTACAGGAGTCGGAAAGCGTCGGATACGTACGCAGTGTGATTTGTTTCAGCTAGGTGTAAAACCACTGCACTGGTGAGTGACTCAATCGTTCCGATGTTCAGCAACGCCGGGTAGTATTTACGAATCCGTTCCAGTTGTGGATTTGAATCGTAATTGTGCAACATCTGAGCGTGTGTTGAATAAAATCCCCTCGACCGAAAGGCAATCCTCTGAGGGGTACGCGCAGTCTGTTGTTTCCATACCGATNGCCGAACCACGTTGCGTCTGCGACTTAATCCTACCAGGCCAGTGGGTGAGTTCTTTCCCAACCCCGAGTACAATGTTCATAATCTATCGAGCGTAAATTTGGACAAAATGCTGTTAGAAGTATTATATCTGGGATCAAAGTTTTGTTATCCCAGTGGTGGTTCAAACTAATTGGATATGGAGGTGGAGTTGGCAAACCTATGCGCGCAACTTTCTGACTGGTTCCCTCTTCATCGTTGGAGTTGGAAAGGCTCAAATTCACCTTAGTGAATGCTTGCTACCAGGATCAGAATGTCAAGCTACACACAAATGAATTAGTAACTACGGAATACATCAGACGATTACGAGAACGTCAAAAAAATAAAGACGTTATACTGACCAGACCAGATAAGGGGACGGGGATCGTGCTGCTAAATCGAACGTAAACAAGATGAATATCATATTGTGTGATCGGTGGAAATTCACCAAGTCGACGGAAAAAGATAGGACAGCTCAAATAGAAGGGGTGCCTTCTAAGATTTTGCGATACTTAAAACGGAGGGAAGTCAGTGATGCATCCATTTTCGAACGTATTAGGCCGACCCAGACTGATATTCCGAGGTTGTATGCATTACCAAAAGATGGAGTACCATTACGACCGATTTTGGATATATGCAACTCGCCACAACATTTCCTAGTAAAGGGGTTGGCCAAATTGTTAGAACCCGTTCGAGTTAGTTTGGCAAAACACAGTGTCAAAGATATATTTACTTTTGTGAACAAAATTCGTGACATAAACTTGGCCGATCGAACAAAGCTCTTGCTGGACGTTAGCTCGTTGTTCACCAATGTTCCCATCAGCGAAACAATTGAATACCTGTGCAGTTATGTACAAACCAATAATATAGAGCTCGGTCTCCCTTTGGATGACCTTTAACAACTGCTTTAGTTCCGCACGTATGATGTTCAATTCAAGTTTAACGATGAGATATATCGATCGAAGGATGGCGTGGCCATGGGGTCTCTGCTGGGACCGCTTTTCGCGGATTTGTTCATGGCGAAACTTGCAAATACTCAATTACATCCATCCATCGAAGACTGTGTACTATACACACGGTACGTGGATGACATTTATTGTGTGATCAGTGCAACATCGAACACAACGGTACTATTAAAAAGGTTCAACAGCGCGCATCCCAATATAACAATTAATTCAGAAATGGGGTATAACAACGGATTGCCGTTTCTAGATGTCTGCATCACCCGTCGATCAGATGGCTCAGTGCAGCGTTCTGTGCATAGAAAGGCAACCTGGAGAGACTAATACATTCATTTCAGAAG